AAGTGGTCTTATAATAGAAATAGTTTAAATCAACACTAAAGGCAACTATAAACTGCTCGAGTTTGAGAAACACTAGAGAAATGAATTCCTACTTATGCACAGACAATAATCTTGCTTTCTATCCCATGAGAAATCTGTAACTAGAAAGAGAAGTTAGTAAATCTTTGAACATTTATGGGTGATATCACTGCTGGTAAGAAGAAATTACATCTGCAAGCAATCACACATTCTTGTGTACATATTGGTTGGTTTTGTGTTTGATTAGTATCTGTTTCCTTTGGCTGACTCTGGAGTTCCATTAGGGCAGTGGCCAAACCTGTTTTGTCCCTTCTCATATTCAAAATCAAGCATGGGCCCTTGCTCATAGGAGCTCTTCAATAATTTAATCAGAATGGCTAAAGCCATTGAATTTTCACACCATTTCATTTTCAATCTGTGCCCCTAACATTTGGATCAGATATAAATATGTAATAAAATGGCCAGTATGTTTGCAAATTTGAGGAAACTGAGAAAAACTGAGCCCGCTTCCTAAACCAATCAATCAATCAATGTCTGTCTCTGTCTCTCTCTCCCTCACATACACATATACACACACAAACATGACTAATAATTTCATCTAAAAGAGCATTAAATTTAACAGAGGACCAGTAAAAAGGCATGAAAAACCTCAAGCAGACTATTCTTAAGATACACTGTTAACCTTCAGCTAAACAGTTCTAGGGCTAGAAGAAATGGGATATTAGCTTGCTTGTCCAACCTCTCCTTATGACCCATCTAGAAACTACTCATTTTTCAATGTTAAATTCAAATACTCACTTCTCTATGAAATCTTCTTTACTATCCTACCCCTTTCTTCCTCTAATAAATTCTCTAAGCACTTACTATGTGTAAAATTGTTACATATTCAGTAGTGTTTTAACTTGATCATTTTGTTACTATAGTAATATCAGTTAAAGTTTGTTGTATGCCTACAATCCATGAGGTATAAGGATGCACATTATTTTACAAACATCCATTAGGGTAAGTAATGTGAAATTTTGCGTATAGGACAGTGGGGTTTAAGATTAGTCAAGGTATCATAGCAAGAAAAGTGGCAGAGTCAGCGCTCTAGGTCTGTCTACCTCTCAAAGCTGAGCTCTTTCCTATACCACACCAAAGTGGAAAGCACGTTTTTAATTTGTTCTGTTTATCACATGGCCTTTCAGTAATAATTTTACAAAACCATTTGTAATATTCCTACTCTGAAATAGCCTACCAAAAAAAAACTCAAAACAAGATTTCTGAAATGTATTTTAGATATACTAATTATAAAAGTAAGCCTGGCTTTTAAATGCTGAAGGCTAGTGACTACATTTCAACAGGAAATGAAATCCTAAGAAAAAATAGGGTACCATCCTATAAAGCAACAGGAAAAACCCACTACTTTTCCCTCACATCAGTAAATAAACAGAGAATCTGTAATAAATGCTATCTGTGTATGTTTTTAGAACAAGTTATGAAATTAAAAACGTCAGCAACGCTGGCTATATAATGCAGCAACATGATATATTTTGCACCACTTCAACAGTGAGTCAGTAAAAGCAAAGTAAAATAAGACACACAAAAAAGCCTTCATTAAGGACCAAATTTTGAATTCTTTAAAGTTAAAATTTAATTTAATTCATCCATATTAATTAAGTAGCTTCTATGCATTAAGTATTACATTGTGTTTTGGAGTCACCAAATAAATATGTTCACTGCCCCTGAAGAACAGACAGTCTAAAAGAAGTCATGGATGGGCCACAGAGCAATGGCCAAGAGCCCTGCTAGGACTAACCAAGGGCTAAGGAGACGGCTTGGGAGGGGCAGAAAGTGAAAGGCTTCTCTGAAGGGCGAGGACTCACATGCCACATGCAGGTCCATCACATGCAAACTGCAAAGTGATTACAAGTACACTAATGTCCACTTGACACAGTCATCGCCACCACTACACACGTCCCTGAAGAAAGCACAGCAGGATTTCCATGCTGCACACAGGTGGTCACTCTGCTTCCAAGAGCAGTACGGCCAATTTTATATACACTGGCCTCTCTCTGCCTCAGGAGCTACATACATTTTGCTTTAAGTCAGAATGTGGTTCCCTCTCCAGGATTAGCATATTCCAAATTGGTCTGCTGGCCTCAGTCTATTTTATATTCTCTTCTAGTTTTGGAACTGGTACTCTCATGAACAATGATTATCCCCTGGCTTGGGTGATCAGCGGAAGACTCATGGGGGCCCTATCTCCCGTGGTTTGTGTTTGTAATTGCATTTGGTCTAAATCTCCATTCAAAATGAGCTCCCTTTTCCCTCAGGACTCTGTAGGGTGCATGTATCTGCTGCTCTGATGCCTCAGGAAGATAGTTTCAGGTCTTGTAACAGGGATTCCTGAAGTTTTCTGCATCTCTCTGCTCTCGGCATTACAAGGGAAGTAGATCTCTGTCCATTTGGCCTCAGATGTGATACCTACGGCCATCCTCCTCTTATCCACTCTCAGCACCAGGCCCGGACAGCACAGCTTTCGGGATAGATGTTACTCATCCCCTCACTCATCCCCACTTTGGGGTCCTTCCTGCCATCTCCTGCCATCCAGGTTCAGCAGAGCCCCTTGATAATTCTGATACAATTGCAGTCACGGTGCTTCTACAGCTGACATAATCACTCTCAAATTTGTCCACGTGCTGACACACATGAACATCATGATTCCTTTAACTAAACAACATCTAGTGTTTGTGTTGACTCCATTGTTAGAATGAGAAACATTATTTCTAGGAAAAAAGTTTATTATAGTTATGTGATACAAAATTGCAAACACAGGCAACCAAAATAAAAAAAAAAAGATTTTTAAAATAAGGAAAGTAAGTATAATCACTAATTTCTAAAATTTTCAGCTTTATTACTATTTTTTCCTATCTGTCTAGTCTCACAGTAGTCACATATTTTTAAAAAACTTATTCTTTAGTTTGAGAACATTTGGGGGAGAACTGTTAAAATTAAGATACTCCTATCTATTAATCTTTTTTTTCTTGCAAATAGGAGTAAATGTTATTATTAGTCAATGTTTATGGATCTGTCGGTCTAGTTTATAGGATGTGCAGTGCTTTCAAAGTATCCTTTGAGAATCACTGGACTAGAATGATGGAGAAGAAAGAAAAAGATGTCTGTAAAGGGATACACAGACTTCTTCCCTAAAGACCTTTAATTTTTCTTCGTTTGATGATACACTGGAATCACTGTCATCCTTTCAAAGAAAATGTTGACCTTCTTACTTCCTTTCTCTATACCTTTGTCAATGCTGGCCTAAACTGACAACATGTTGTCTAAGCAGAAGAATTCACTAACATCTGTGAAATCTGTACTCTTAGGAAAGCATCTCCTCACTCTTCAGGCTTATTGTCAGCTCAGA